GAAAACGGCATCGGTTTCCATGGTAACCAAAAAAAAAATATTTTAAAGAAGAAAAACATCCAATTTGTGAACTGTATTTGCAATTTATTGGGTAAGAAACTATTTCTCTAGACGAAATTGGAAATTAAATAAGAAGTATATTAAAATTTCGAAAAATTAGTTATTTTATATTGGGAAATTATAATTTATTAACCCTTAGACGCAGATGGGATGCCGATGCCGCTTTTATGTATTTTCTTTTTTTCCAACGCTATAATTACAAGAAAAATATATTTTGGCTTTTTTTATTTATTAAAACAGTTACAAAAGATTTGTCAGGTTAATGGAATTATATTTGTGCTAAAACAAAAAACCCCAAAGAAAGTAGTTCGAAATTTTTTTCATTCATATTCAAAAATTTATCAATAATTGCTTTTGTAAATTAAAAAAATTTCAATGATGAGTAACTGATTTTCTTGGATCTAAATAACTACAAAATAGAAAATTTATTGATTGAATGTGCGGCGTGTTTAAAAGCAGTAGAGAAAACAACAGCAGTGTTCCATCCTGTATTCAATAATCGTAAATTATTGAAATGCTGAATATAATTTTATTCCCTTAATTTAATCTAAAAAACTAAAAAGTACTGAAAAAAAATGAATGAAAAATATGTGTAATAAAAATTCTGCGTCCAAGGGTTAATGTCGCGAATCTGGAATATCTAGAAATTAATTAAATGTTTTTATAATATCGATAAATTCTCTGTTTCAATTTATTTTGTGTAAAAGATAACATTCTTTTATTCTCTTGGGAACAATAAGAAAGATTTTCTCTTATCATGACTGATAAAATTTCACAATCGCGATGAGAAAAAACTTATGTTTCTCTTAGTAAAAAAACTTTCCTTCTTTGGTAAACTATCCTTTTTAATTTTAAAATGTGTGACTGGGTTCAAAAAAATGTTTTTTGAAACAGCCGCAATTAAAATTTTAATTTTATTATTCGTAATCAGGGATCCTAAAATTATAAGCATAAAGTAAATTCTCAAGCTTTATAAAATTATTTTCTAAAATATAAAGCCAATTTTAACTTGTTAACTAAATATTTTTCTTGTTATACTGAGAACTCTGTAATAAACTGTGATTCATAAATATCAAAATAATTTTTTTTCTAGATCAAAAATATGGCTTTCCTGTGTTTTGAACTAAACTTTTTAAATAGTCAAAATAAACAAACATATAAAACTTAATATATTGATCAATATTGATTTATTTTAAAAAAAAATTCAAAATATTCTTGCTTAAGTCTTGATTAAAGTATTAAATTCTCCCTTAGACCTTAGAACTTAGTTCAAATCATAGCTAAATTTGCAGAAAATTTAATGAATTAAAGTAGAAAATTTAAAAATTTAAATTATTTTATATTAAACTTTGTTAATAATGAATGTTTTTATAAAGAAATTTTCTCAAAATCAATATCTTTTTAAAAATGCATTTAAAATGCAAGATAACTCTAAAATACAAGGAAATTCTGACGGCAAAAAAATTGAATAGTCAAAAAGTAATTTTAAAGATGAATTATACTTCTCTTAAAAATCTAATTTGTTTAAATAAAAAAAATTATAATTCTTGAAGAATGACAAAAAACACTATTATTTTGTCTCGAAGTGCTTATTTGCGTTCCAGTTTTGCCTGTCAGCGTATAAAAAAAAACAACTATAACTTCATTTCGGAAATCAGAAAGCAAAAATTTGAATGTTTTTGGAAAGCTAATGAACTTAAATTTAAAAATAGACAATAGAGACACCGTGGCTTAGGAGGTAGAGCATTCGCCTCTCGTATCCCAGCGGAATTTGGTGATACGAATTCTAGTCCCGGCTTACACTGGCCACAGTGCTAACATAAGATATGATCAGTAATAGATGGACCAAGGGTTATAATCCTCTTGTTGTTGGGCTAATCATGGGAGGGTTTTGATGTTTCCCTATAATGAAACGCAAATGCGGATTGGTTCCAACAAAAAAACCGCCATGATGGACAGTTTGTCCTAAAGCTTGATCCAGGAGTTCCCTTAACGAAGAAGACAAGAGTTCGAGATTACAAGACTGTGGAGTTCAGCATTGATAGTAGTCAACTGAGAATTGGTAGGGCTATTCAACGCCGGTTTCAGAATACAGACAATAAATAAAATCAAAAATTTTGTCCATATTACCGATTTTCACCTAATTGAATACAACAAGAGATTATTACTTAGAATTAAAACTCTTAACATTACTTCGATAAGATAGAAATATTTTGGTGGTATTTTTATTTTAGGGTATTTAGGGTACAAAGCTCTGAAAAATTTTGATAACTTTATTGTTGAAAATAAAACATAAATTCTGTTTGAAATAGAGCAAGAAGTTTTTTTTCTTCTTCATTTAAAAACGAGATGAATTATAATTTCGCGGTACCCGTCATGACCTTCAAATGTAGCTGAAACTATGTGTTAAAATCTGTGAATCATTCGTAAAATCCGTTTAAATTAATTTAATGGATCATTAGTTTTATGGAAAAAAGTTTAATATGATGCATTTTTTATATTTTATGGTAATTTTTTGTGTTATAATTTTTTTTTTAATTTTGTACTTATTTTGATTCATTATTTTATTTTTTATTTTTTTATTCAATTTTATTTTTTATACTTTACATTTATTGTGTAACTTTTAATTTTATTTTTATATTAAACGTTTTATGTTAAAAATTTTGTATTCTTAATTTTTGCCGTAATATTTATATATTTAGAGTGATTTAGAGATTTTACGGTAATAATTACAGTTAAAATTACGGTATATCAGATTTTTTTGTTCCATAGCATGTTCCGCTAAAATTAGATTTTATGATAAAAAGTACAGGCACTCAGAGAGCAGGTAATTTTTACCAAAATTTCATCCAGAAATTTGAATATTGTGCATAATTTATTTTGTCTTTAAACTGAATTTCAATTTTGATTGTAATTTTTTAAATGAAATAACGAAGAAAAGTTTGTAGTTTTGTTTCAGTAATTTTTAATTTCATTTTGAAAATTTAAATAGCAAACTACTATTAAAAGAATTTCTATTATTACAAGGCAGTACTTTAGTTTTTTATTCAGTTTTTTAGGCAATAAATCTTCTAAATGTCTTGAAAGAATTTAATGAACATTTTAGGTACTTTTTTAAAATTTAGTATACTTGAAAACACACAAAATTTCAAGAGAAATTTTGGACATTTTCAAAATTGTGATTTGGACCCCCTACGCAATTGTTTTAAAGATCAGAAATAGTATCAGTTACAAATTTTTTTTATAGATATGTATACTCGGATATATGACAGTTCCTATTTTCATTGTTCATGACAACATGATTTTTAAGTAACACTTTATAGTTGTTAAAAGTTATAGATTTTAGATGTTATAGATAGACTTTATATTAACACTACCTTTAATTGAAATTAGATGTGGTGCCATCGTGGCTGCAAAATGAAGAGGTAAGTCTTTTTATTTAAAATATCGGAACACATTTTGTTAGTGTATATCACTAAATTTAAATTCATGAAAGCTAATATTTTATTTGCTTGAGTTTCACATTTTGTTGCGTTTATTAACTAGCTCACTCAATAAATGGTATGTAAAAAGAAGACATGGTTTTAGTACTTTTTAACAGCTATTGATCCAAAAATTTATATTAATATCGGAAAATAGAATAAAACGTAAATAATCCGTCAAACAAATGATATAGAATCTTGAACTTTTATTGATAAAATAAAAATTAGAATAAAAGGAATCACATTTAAATATTTTTTTTTAAAATTAAAAATGAATTATTAAAGAAGCAATAGCAAGAAAGTAGTTATATTGTGATTAAAAGTTTATTTGTTGAGGTTTAGCATGTTTTTAAAATGATTAAAACTTACGTTTGAATTTTTACTTTTAGTTACCGTAACAACTGCAGTTTTAACCTTGAATTATTTATGATGATCTATAACAAGTGCGCTGCAGTTATTCTGTCCCTAATAATAAAATACAACAAAATACTTATTTTTCCTTAAAATAGTTGATGAAATAAAGTATATTTGCCTAGTTTTTATTCAAATAAGACGTATATAAAATTCTGGTACAAATATCGTACTGTAAGTTAATGGCATTTTTGGTAAACAAAGTCATCATTCTGGTAACAAAAACCAAATTATACGGTGTTTAAGCTATTTATTTTTAAATTTTTCTGTTCATATGGTGTACGTTTACCTGAAAATCTGGTTTTCAAAATTTTACAGTTCTTATTATCACGCATGTAGTAAAAAATATAAAACTGAAATGTAAATTTTACCGAATAAATGGTTTTTATGCCTTGTTTTAAATTATCATAATAAATAGTTAATATTTTGTAAGATATTTTGAAACCATATTTTACAGCTAATTTTACCAAAATTGTTATCAAAGCGCTTCGGTAATAATTATTCTGCTTTTTTTGTGTTCCAGAGCAAAAAACAAAGTAAATTTTGTTATAGTCTGGCAATTTTCCAACATATTTTTTCTTAGTGTTGTTAACTTGTGCTCTTTCCTGTTTTTCATTACTATTTAAAAAAAGAAGAAGTATTTTACTGAAATTCAGCATTTTTTCACTTTATAAAAATTATACAGAATTTAAGCTTTGTAACATTTTTCCCTTATCTTAGTGCTTACACAACATTGTTATATCTATCTGACAAAAATGATAACAAAAAATCGATAAAACGTTGCTTGGTTCTCTTCCATTATCTTTATTAATCAAAGATTAATTTGACGTAAGAACAAATCGCTACAATAATCTCACGGGGGTGTAGAGTGTGGAATGGGCTTATTTTAGATCAATGGAGATAAATAGCGAGAAAATTCAATTGCAAAAAAAATTCTTTTGTTTGTATTTATAAAAAAGAAGGGGTAACTACATGTAATAAAGTTCCTGATTTGTTCCGTATTGTTGAGAATATTTAATTGTAAAAAAAAATTTTTTTTTCGTTCGTACTGATAAAAAAGAAGGGGTAACCACAAGTAATAAAGTTCCTTATTTGGGTGAAAACTTATCACTCTTTGGACTCCAATCAGTCAGTAAATTTAGTGACGCTGTTGCACAAGGTTTTGGTAATGAGGAATTCATAATATTTAAACCGGCAATTGTAAGCTTTCGGAAGTGGTGTGTGAATATTTCCTGAAGGAGGGAGTGTCCCTTTAAAAAAATTTTCAAGTCGCAAATGAATTAAAACCTTTAAAGAAAAATGTCGAATAAAGGTGATTATCAAAACTCGGATACAAATGGATTTCGGAATGGAAAAGATGATAAAGTTCTTGAGGAGACATACATAAATGAAGCTTTTGACGATAATGAATGCTTAATAGGTGGTGCAGGATGCAGGTTTGTTTTTTATTTTATTATGGAATTTTCATAATTAAGCTATAATAATTTAAATGAGCATTAAAGTTTATAAAAAATGTGTAAAATAATTTAAAATAAGTTGGTTTATTTGATTTTGTTTCTTTAATTTCGCTGAATGGGTCCTAATAAAGAAAAGAATCGTAGATTTTACGGTATGGTGTGTTAGAACGTCAGTAGTCGTAAGATTTCGAACCATGTTTATGTTTATTTTTTTTTTTACATATTTCATGAATGCCTACCGTAGATAGTTTATATCTTCTAGAAATTGATTGCCGATACAAAATTAACATCTGGAAAAAATTAAAAAGTGGTAGTTTAAAAAGGTTCAATAGTAGATATTTTTATATTTTTATACTTGTGGCAGCAAAAATATTTTATTTTTTTAAGTAAATATCTATATATAGATTCAAAGGTGTCAGTTATGAAATTTTATTTTGATAGTAGAAGCTTATATGACGAAATTTTCAGCCTTTTTTATAACAAAATTGATACAAGTTATTAATTTTTTCCCAGTGCGCACGAACCATGCTATATAACCAGGGGAAAAATTGTCTTAATTTCACCAAAAGGATTGTGGCCAATTCTTATCCTGCCCAAAGTGATTAGCAATATTCTTGACACAACTTTTTTTGATTAAATTGGTATTTTTTGGTTAAATTTAAGTACTGATTTATTTTCAAATTCGTATTCGCATTCTTATCGTTAAATAGTTATAAAGTGTTCTTATATAAAACTACAACAATTGCATGTGTTGTTAAAAAATTATTCTTTGTTTTCAGTGAAAATTATTTACTTTTAAGAAGAAAAAAAAGAAACCAGTGATGAAGAAGAAATAATTACGGGTAGTGATGTGGAGAGCAAATATGGAAAGGAGTTTCCTAGTTTCCAGAATCTCCGCTCGAAGAAAATAAAAATCTCCTCTCGCCAACTCTCTTAATTGCCTCTCATTCACTTCTTTTAAAGTCAATATTTTTTTTTAACAAAAAAATTCATTTTGTAAATAAAATGTAGAATTGCTGTAATTTTCTCCAAGAAAATTTTCTTAATACGATAATAGCAACAAGCTGAACGATTACATGATTCTTCAAAAAAATAATCAATTGTACTTGAAAAGAGATATTTAGACTTATGAATACGAGTACAGTTGACCTTTTTTCTATTTTAAAAGTTTACAATTCCTTATTACATAATGATGATTAAAAATTCAATTACCTCATTGTAGGGGAAACATATCCTGATTCAACATGTCTTAAACTTAGTAAGATACACTAAGCACTTTATAGATCTCACTTTCTAGTTTTCATTGCAACTAATTTAATTGTTAACCGTGCTTCTTAAAGATAGAAATTCTTCAAAAATACATTTAGATTGATATGCGAGTTAAATATGGGTGAACGCTTCTTAGTTATGAATGTACAATGTTAGAATTTTTTATTCTAAAATTACGGTAAAATAACGGGTAGCAGTTTGTCCATCAAGTTAGCCATAAAGTCTACGGTGAAGAACAATTTTTACCTTCGGCTTTGAAACTGTTTACAACTAGCATAGTTTTACAATTATCGGAATAATGGAGATGGGAAATGCTAGACTTTTTTTTATATTATGCAGTTTTATGGTGCTACCATCAATCCGTCCAGGATTCATTGTCCAGGGTCACAAATTGGGGAAAGCAGGACATTGGAAATTTCATGTGCTGAAGGGAATGGAGAGAATATTGCTGTGTAAACGCTAAGACTCTAATCCCCGTTCTTGTCGGTCATGAGATTGACAGATTAGCTTTCTCGACTATAATATAAACCCTGGTTCGAAGTGGCTTTATAAGGTAGGCCTCGTTGGTGCAATGAAATTCTGGTTGTTTAACCGCATTAGGTGAGAGCTGCTAGTAAACGGTTTTTCTCTCTGCTGGCAGTTTGAATACCACTTCATTTGGATTATTTGACTGTTTTGATAGAATATGGTGAAATAACACTTAAAACATTTGTTATTTAACCACTTTTTCCCCAGAAATTTCTAACAGTGAAGGAAAAAATGCGATACCAGGATTCTATTGTTTTAAAATTATAAGAAAAAACTGCTGTTCTAAAGATTTTCGCTTCATTCTTTATAACAGTGTTTCCTAATTTTATTCATCTATTGAACCTATAAATGATAAGTTTGATTTTTGGCGGAATTTCTGAGACTTAATGAATTAGTTTTGTTAGCAAATGATAACATATTAATCAAAGAAAGGATATTAATAATCCAGAAAATACTTTGTATCTGAAATTTCGTTAATCATTTTGAATGTAGCTGATAAATGGGTGAAAAATAAATTTTTTATCATCGTATCATTTCATCAATTCTAGTCTTAGAAGTCTATTTTATATCAAATAATTGAATTTCAGGTTTGAGTCTCTCATTTATTCTGGTTCTTGATTTAATTTAGTGAATGCATAAACTGAATATGAGTGACTAATTGTGCTTTTCATTGATAGAAAAACGAAAAAGAACGAGAATAGACGTTGAAAATGATTATCAGAAAAACACTGTTCTTCATTGTTAAATTTAGTAATTTTTAATCGAGGTAAAAGATTATAGTATTTTTTCAGAAATAAAAGAGTTTGGCTGCCAGTAGGGGTGACTGCATGGAAATGTTTAGTTCTTAAGGTCTTTGCCCACCCTGGGCTATCTTGCCACGATTGATGATGGTATTCATTATTCATTCAAATTATTTTTTGTTCGTGTTTTTACTATCAAGCATTTTATTAAAATAATTAAAAAAATAATGTAAATATTCGAACAAATAATGGCTGATTAATTGGATAAAAATTCAATTACAGACTTTGAAAATCTTAATTGGAAAAAGAAATTGCAATTTTCGGAGCCCCTTGTGGCTGTACCATGGAACCCTAAGTTACCGCAGAATACCTTTTTGGGACCTCTGCTCTAAAATGCTTAGTCTTATAAATTGTTTGTTTTAAAATTACAACGAAAAAAATCGAATTTTATACTACCTCATGAGGAGGATTACAGTTTAATGGAATCAGAATAGTATTGATTGACGAATTTTAAATCAGTCTGTTAGAAACTATCATCGCTATACTAACACAAGCAAATATAATCCATGGTCATTGTTTATACCTTGGATTGAATAAAAAAGACAAAAAATATGCCATCAAGAGTTCTGAAACAAATATTCAAACAACTATACTGAAACAACAAGGTTGCAAAACAACTATGTCTTCACAATTCTAAAAGTTTTTGCGTCTAATACTAACATATTAAGTAGAATTGTTTTTTTTTTAATTAGAGATCATTTTTAATCTTTATTTAAGCTGCAGTGAAAGTGTTACAGATTTGATAAGTAATAAATGTGATCAATGAATTCAGTATTGATTACGATTTAAATCGGAACTTCTCGCTACGTTAGTAAATGTGATGTTTTCCAAACATTATTTTAATTTTATTATGTTTGAAGGTTATTTTATGACAAGTAAATAGAACAATCGCAATGAAGTTTGAAGGTTATTTTATGACAAGTAAATAGAACGTAATCGTAATGAATTGAAATATTTCAAACCTAATGTTTTGTGAATTAAGTACGTACTCTTTTAACCGATGCACTTAAATATCATAATTTTAGAAAAATTATGAGTTTATTTGCTGAAAAGTAAGTCTTCTTTATATTTGCTGAACTTTTATTTCAGATCATTATACTTTATTCATGTCAAAATGTAGAAATTTAAAAACTGTTTCATATTCATTTTTTTAAGATATGAAAAGTATATATTTCACTTAATTATTTTTGCGTACCCTACCGAATCAATTTTTTGCTCTGTTGCTTTTCTTTTTAAAAGGACAGTTTACTTTTTCAAAAATGAAAAATTGGTATCCCAAATGTTTTATTGGGATTTATTTGGTTGAAACAAGTCAAGTCTGTTTATCTTAATATATTAACAAAATAAAAAATTACATTTTCATGTAAAGTCACATTTTTTAAGACGACTGTAAGGGTACGCAACTAAAAAAATCCTCCTGGTAAAAAAACACGCATGTAGTACAACTTTTTTCGTGTTTTTGATGAATTTATATTTCCACCATTATTGCGAATCACAATTACTTCGCTTACTACCGTTTTTGAAGTAATACTAAATGTTATCATTTAAATTTGAGACATAGCATTTTCTACATAATGAAATTTATTTTAAATTCATTTTCAGTGAGAAAGAGGAGAAAGAAGAAAAACCTGAAGATGAAATTCCACCTGTGACATTTTTTTCATTAGTAAGTGTCTTACGAATTTCCCAACTATTTTAAAATAACAACAAAAAATATTTTAACTGAAAAATATTTTAAAATTAAAAATATTTGTGCTTAATTTAACGACATATTTCCGAATCAGAGTGTTCCGAATCAGCAAAGTTTGATTAATATATGTTATCACTCATATGAATTCATAATTATGCCATTATTTGTGGCATGGCTTAATTTGTATTAAATATTTAGTTTTAAATCTCCAAATACAAGTGAAATATTTTTAAGTAGACAAAGATTTCTCCCCTGAAAGGTGAAATGGTGCAAAATATTTGTATAAATAGATTTACTATTTTTGCTTAGTGTTACATTTCGTTTCGAAATAAATTTCAAAAATAAATAATAATAAAATTCATATTTTATTATTATTTAATTTGATTATAAATAATTACAATCAAATTAAATAATAATAAACTAATAAAGTTCATAATATTGAACTTATTATTTGTTATAATAAATAATAACAAGTAATAAGTTCAAAAATAATGAAATTCACAAAATTGAACTTATTATTTATTATAATAAATAATAACAAATAATAAGTTCAAAAATAATAAAATTCACAAAATTGAACTTATTATTTGTTGTAATAAATAATAACAAATAATAAGTTCAAAAATAAAAAATCCCCCTTTTGAACACTTATAACCGCGGTGGAGATGGATCTTAAGATTTCTTAATTTAATACTACAGGATATAATAGCGAGAATGTAAAAGACTCCAGAGATATAAAAATTGCTTCTAATTGTATGATATTATGTTAGCGTTATGCATTATTAACAATTTAAATTACTTTTCATTCATTACTTCTTCATATATATAACGCATTTTTTATTCCTAAGTTTCAACATTTCTAGTGCAGGTGATTATTTTTCGAATCCTAGTAATCGTTCAATTTGTTTTAATTTACATACTAAAAAAATGTTTTTAGATAAAATTATAGTAATTATATATTTTATAAATTAAATAATGCTATTTTATTAATAAAAAACAGAAATAAATAAGAAGCAATAACAGAAGCTGGAGAGCTGCACTGTAAAAAATTCCAGAACCAAGTTTGGTAAAAAGTACCAATATTTAAAATGTCAGTACTTTTTACCGAATAATTTTAGGCATTAGAAAATCTGATATCCCGTAATTTTTAACAATAATGATATTTATTGTAAAATCACTGTAATAAAATAAATATCACTGCGAATTTATAATATAAAATTAAGTTAAAAAATCGATTTAATATTAAAATGGATTTTACCAATGTTGCATTCAGGATGCCCAGTGCTTTTTATCGTAATTTGATTCAGAATTTCAGTGTTAGAGAGCAGAAGTCGGAGTTTTCTAGCAACTTAAGAAATTAGTTTTATACATCACATCCAGTTATCGATTTATATGAACCACTTGATAGCAAACATCTTAATGTTGTTTAAAAAAATAAACTCAGCTTCTTTCATTAAAAAGAAATTTAAAATTCTCCTATGATTTAAAGTTGCATCTGGTAGAAGGAATGAAAATTTTCTTAGTGAGTAAAGTTTACATTGATAAGCATTCACTTCGCTTGAGATAAATTAAAGATAAGTTATTTACATTTATTTGCATAGTGCAGATAAACTTACCTTCTGGTGAATTGCTGACAGGCATTTTACTGTCTATTTTTGTTGTAACTGGAGGTTGGTTTTCCAAAAATGAAACAGAAAATGAAACTGTCTATCAGTTTTATCCTTGAAAAATGCAAGATTAGAACAATATGAATAAAAATACTTTTTAGGAGTTTAAAGTACGGTAAGCATAGAAAAAAAAGAACGAAACACTTTAATTACTGTGATGAGTGGCAGAAAGCAACGAATTTTTTTTTAAATGTAACGTTATATAAGTAACGTTATATAAGTAATAAAATATTACAAACAAGAATAAGAGTAGACTTTTAATTAGAAATAAATCTAATTGCTTTCAAAGTGGATACCTTTTGCGTCGATGCAGAGGCCTCAAACGCTTATCGAAATTTTAAGCAATGAGGCGCAAGTCTTCTTCACTGTACATTACAGAATAAATTGCTGGTAAGAAACGGCACTCTGGTCAGTACTTTTTACAGTAAGATACATTTATGCCTCGAAATTTTTCAAAGAAGAAATTCTGATGTATTTCAATTTTTAACTGAAATATTTAAGGTGAATTCCCTGAATCACAATTATATATATACTACTTGAAAAATATCTGGTTAAAATTTTACAGTAAAGTGGATTTTAAGGAGGCTGCAGAGTGACAGTGTTTTTCACTGGAATTTTGAACAGTGTACCTTTAATCTAAACGCTTTTATCTAATCCTTTAATCTAATGTACCTTCAATCAATCCAATTCCGCCGAATCCTTTGCTTTACAATCTTAGATATACAATAGGGAATATACGTTCTAATACAAGAGGGAATCTTTGTTTTATTGATTCTATACAGAACAAGCGTACGATTTTACAGTGTCGTTTTCTTGTTTTAAAAAATTCTAAACTATCAGATCTCTCGTTTGTCATTGTAAAAATGTTAAAAAAAAACAATAAATTAAGAGATACATTAAAAAATATTTTATAATTAAAGTAACAGACAGTAAGAAGTAAGCAAACGCAATAAATAAATTTGTTCTATTCTATGATACAGTAAAATTACCCGAATTTTTTTGTAGCCTCCTGTGATGATTTGATGATCAGATTATCATATATTGACATACAATTTCATTGGTTGGAAGAAATATTTTTATATATGCTAACTATCTTTTTAATGGCTATGTTTTAAGTTAAGGAATCAGAAAAAGAAACATACTTTTTCTGAATTATGCAATTTGATAATAGTCTAATCAGATTTTTTCAAGAATGCAATTGACAATTTGGAGTCTTTAATGTTCTTTTTTTTTCATTTTTATCTCGGCACTTTCTATGAATTTTTTTTAATGTCTTTTAAAGTAGGTAATTTTAATAAACTAAATCTAGAGTTTGAGTACGGTCGGTGAAACTGTTATTAAGCAATAAAATATCATTCAAACTTAATTTTTTAATTGAAATTTTATTTATTTACAAAATAACTTGAAGATTCTTCTGGAACATTTTTTTCTGAGAAATTTCCACAGCTCATTAAACGATAACACAGGGGAACAAATTTTTTGTTTTAATGAACTTTATTTAATGACATTTTTAGTTTATTTTTAAATCAAATTGCGCAAATCAAAAGGCATTATATATAAGAGGGGGTCACGTACAAATTGCGGCAAACGTCGTGGGGTGCTAGAATACTTCATCAGGGTTAAAACTGCAGAGGATGTTTGGAAATGTCGTCGTATTTGACCAGAGGCGCTTCCCTATTATGGCCTGTTCAGAAGTATACGAAGAAACAGTTCAAAATATGGAAGCGAGTGGCGTATGACGACATTTCCGGGAATATAGTTTCAATCCTGATGATGACTCCTAACTCCCCTAGAAGTTTTTCGCACCAATTATGTGGCCCCTGTTTCATATAAGGTTTTTAAACTTGTATATTTTGACGAAAAATAAACTTAAAATGTAATTTTAAAAAGTCTGCAGCTTCTAAAAACTTGTAGTAAAAAACTGATTGCATATTTGAAATCAGGGATGCGAAAGTATCTAAGATCTGTAAAAAAATTTCATGCAACAGAGAAAAAATTGTTTCACGGTGTAACTTAAAATTCCCTTTTTTATTTACTTATTTGTTATTTTATTTTGATTTCATTTATTTTTAAACAACATAACATTTTTTAATTGCAGTTTAAGTATTCTTCTGCCTGTGATAAATTGCTGATGATCATTGCCTGTATCATAGCCATAGCGTCTGGTTGCGCAACGCCAGGAATTATGACTATATTTGGAAAAGTCATCCAGAAAATGATCACCTACGACATGACTGTTAACAATATTTCAACTTCCAATATGTATGTTTAAAGTAAAACTATTTATTTTATAGTTTAAATCAAAAATTGTATTTGAAACTGTTTATGAGAATATATAAATTTATCGATATAATTAAACAACATTACCCCAGATTTATAAAAATTCTGGAGAATGTGAATTTTGAGTAAGAACATGAAGCGAAATGTAATTTCTTTTTACATGAAATGATTAATTTATGTTGGATTTTGTTTGTTTCCCTCTAAGGTAAGGACAAAATAATACTGACACTTAAAAAAGAAATCTATGCGACAAAAATCTATTGATAACTGTTTCATACACTGTAAAAATGTTTGGTGTGGTAGGTGAATAAGTACAGAACTGTGGTTATCGTGCAAAAATGTATCTAAATTTGATAAAATTTTAATTGTTAGAAATAATTGTTGGCAGAGTATACTTCAAAAAATGTGCCTGCTTTTTAAGCAAAATGTTTTTGCAATAAAGTAACAAATTTATCCTAATGCCCATGGAACTTGTTTATGGAACTGCAGCGTTTTCAGTAAATAAGAAAACAAAAAATAATTAAATAAATTAAATATGAAATTGAAAAAGTAAAAAAAATTGCTGTAAATACACATTTCATGATTATATGAGAGCAATCCATCACCTCAATTTTTTTTAAATGCTTAATTTCTTGTAATTTTATTATGCATATTTTTCTAAAGCAATTATCTTTTTTTATAAAATTGCTAGTTTTTTTTAAAAAAAGGAATTACCCCGGTACTTTAGGATTGCAATCATGCCACAATTTTTCATGCATTTTTTAATTCGAATTTTGGGATTGTTTTCCTTTTGATTAATCGAAATCATCAAAATAAATCTGAAAGTTACAATTGCTAAGCAAATATTAAATCTGAGTGAAAATAAAGTGCAGATACTTTTATCTAGAGAGACATAGGTTCGTTTCAGTGGTATAATCACGGACGTTCTACATCTACACTACCGAAACGAAGAAGGAAAAAAGAAAACAAAGCGATGCATACAAAATTACAAGCAAGTTAAAACAAGAAAGGGGCACTGATCAAAACTTTAGGGAACCAAATCGAACAGGACATTCGGATGCCGCTAAATTTTGCCTACTTAAAGTGTTGCCAGTCTAGCAACACTTAATCCAAAGATGCTATTAATCCCAATGAAAATCATTTGTTTTGAATCGTTAATCAATTTTAGATATCACTATACCTTAAGAGATATAGTATGCCTCTTGAATAAAAATATGCTAACATTATTTTAAATAAAAATTTACTATTCTTTGTATCAATGTTTTCATTCTACTTAAATCTAATGCATGAGTTACTTTTATTACTTATTTTTACAACGCTGATAGTAAAAGAATTTTATTAAAAGTTCTGTAAAAATATACTTCAAGCCCTTGAGGCCTCTGCTATAAATATGGGCCTTTCCACTAACGAAGACAAGACCAAATTCATGGAGTTTTCAAGCTCAACTGTAAACTATAGTGAACCTTTGCAGATAAACGGACATTCCTTTGAAAAGGTTAAAGAATTTAAGTGTCTTGGTACAATTATCAATGACCGAAACAAACTGAAATCTGAAATTGACAATAGAATCAATATGGCCAACAAATGTTATTTTGGACTAAAAAGTCAACTAAGATCGAATTTTATTAGCCGAAAAACAAAACTAAAATTATATAAAACACTCATTCTGCCTGTCTTGCTATACGGAAACGAAACCTGGGCTTTAAACCTTGACGTCCAACGCCCGATAGAAACGTTTGAAAGAAAGATACTTAGAACTATCTTTGGTGCCATACCAGAGGGGGGATGTTGGCGAACACGGTACAACTTTGAACTTTATGGGCTCTATAAACATCCTCAAATTATGCAGATAATCCGAAGCAACCGACTAAGATGGCTCGGCCATATCTGGAGAGGCTCTGAAGATAGCCCTGTAAAAATTGCCACCTTCAAGAACCCTCAGGGGTCCCGCTCTAGAAGTAGACCATCTACTCAATGGCTCAACGACACCGAAAACGACCTCAAAGTCCTAAAACTTAAGAACTGGAGGGGAGTTGCCATGGACAGAGGGAGCTGGAGAAGGCGTGCTGTTGAGGCAGCCAAGGTCTGCAAAGGGCTGTTGCGCTCCTGAAGAAGAAGAAGAAGAAGTAAAAATATATGCATTTAAATATCCCATAGTTACTCTTTCCATACAAAATTAATATGGTACGCATACAATATTATTGGATGATACGTACCTACTCTAGATAATTACTGTGTAGGTAACACATTGCCTACGAAAAAATTGAATCTTTCTCTAAACTTTAGTAAAGCCAAATAGACTACTGTTAATATTTAGGGAGCTATTGAAAAATTTAATATATTATTGACATAAGTTTAGTATATCATTGTACTTTCTTTCATGTTCCTAATTAAATAAATTTTAATTTTTCAGGACTAAAGAAGATTTTCTAGAAAGTGCAACAATGCTGTGTATTTATAATGCAGCTTTTGGGGGAGTAATGTTGATTTGCAATTACATATTTGTAAGCTTTTTTAATACAGCAGCAGCTAATCAAGCATTTAGAATCCGTTGTTTATTTATGTCTTCAGTGTTGAAACAGGACATCGGATGGTATGATACGCATGAAACTGGAGATTTCGCTAGCCGTATAACTGGGTAAGATATATAAAACTATACTAAATGATGAATTTTGTTACTTAATGATGTTTAATCTTATGTTAAATCTTAAATCGCAAAGCAGATGGAATTATTAATTTCATCCAACCTCCAAAATCTACATACTATACATACCCAATGAGTATTAATTTTTATTTTCTTATACCTTTGGGAATAAAGAATAATTGTTTTAACTTGTCTCGTAATTAAAGTTAGCAAAGAATTTTATTACATCATTATAAATGATGCGGTATTTTTTGGTTAAAAAGATTAGTCTTAAAATTATTGTAGGTACTAAATTTTAAATATTATTCTGCTATCATCATATCTTACTTTCTAAATGTACAAATTTTTCAAAGGACAGTAATTTCTATATTTCCGGTATTTTAATTTTGCCTCAAAACTAGATTTCAAAATTTAGGTGCAATGTTAAACCTAAGTGGAGAAAAAATTTTGGTAAAATTATCGTACTGTATGGTAAAGGCATTTCTTTTAAAGAAACCATGATTCTTGTTATTAAAACCTAAATATATGGTATTTAAACCATACGTTTGATAATTTTTCATGATATGATAACGGTTTACCGAAAATTCTGGTTTTCAAAATTGTAGTTCTTATTATCGCATATTTAGTAACAAGCACTAAACTAAAAAGTAAATTTAACCAAATAAATATTTTTTTTACCATGAAGATATGATAAAATTGCAAAAATTTCCAAATTTTCTCTTAAATTATAAAACTATATTTTATTGCTAATTTTACCAAATTTATTACCAAAGCGCTTCGGTAAAAATGACCGTGCTTTTTGGTGCTTTCATAGAGCCAGAGAAACGATAAATTGTAAATTTTGGTAGTTTTGACCAAACTTTTTTTCTCAGTGTACTATAAAAGTAAACAGAATTTTAAAATTAAACAGTTATGCACTGAACAAAAATGCCCATTGGATACGTAATTGAAAATTTCAATGCAATAAAATTATATTTAAATATCTTAAATTTATATACCTCACTTCATATGGTTAGTTTAAGAAATTGAACCCATAATTTCCCTTCACCTAATCTGCTTTCCTTTTATTAGATCAAAATTTTACTGTATTAAATTAATTGAACAGAAATAATGTTTTTGAATTTATTTTCAGGGATTTAACAAGAATACAAGATGGCATGGGAGAGAAAGTCGGCATATGCCTCAGCTTTTTATCTTCTTCCTTTTTATGTCTTGGCGTAGGTCTATATTACGGATGGAAACTTGGATTGGTAATTCTTGCCATATCACCAATACCAGCAATCGCTACGGCTGTAGTGGCTAAGGTAAGTGAGAACCGCTTTCTATTTTAATTAATATCTCCTTTTGTTGTTGTTCATTTACGTCGCACTAGAGGTGCACAATAGGCTATTTGTGACGGTCTGGGAAACACCCATGAGGATGATCCGAAGACATGCCATCACAATTTTGATCCTCTGTAGAGGGGATGGCACCCCCGCTTCTGTAACCGAACGACCTGCAAGCGAAGTCGAGCACTTTACGGTAGAACAGTTAATGAGGACCAATACCGCACACTCTCGGTCCGTACGCAGACTTATCCAAGTGGTCACCCACCCGCACACTAACCGCAGCCAGTGATGCTTGACTTCGGTGATCTGCTGGGAACCGTGTCTTAGCGATCAGTCTACTGCTGGACTATCTCTTTTTGTAATTGTTATTGAATTAAATCTGTTTCTAACATTGTTCTGTAGGCTGTAAAAATTCCGGATGAAGTTACGGTAAAAAGTATTGGCACCCTGAGTGCCAGTATTTTCTATCGTAATTCTATCCGAAATTTTTTGCAGTGCATTAGCTCAACAACCTTTTTCTACATTGTTCTTACAAAAGTTTGAAAAAGTGTCCTTCAAAATATTTGACATCAAATTAACGATGAAGAACAAATTTTATTTTAAAAACTGTATAAAGTAGAGAAGGCACCGAAAAAGACCTTGATTAAAGCCTAAAATGAATTAACGTTTTATTTAAGCTATTGTATGAGAGTGCAATATTAATTATAAGTAGGAAATGAAATAATGTCTTATAGTAAATATATTACTATTTTTAGATACAGGCAAACGTTTCTAGAGAAGAAAGTCAGGCCTATGGTGCAGCAGCTTCTGTAGCTGAAGAAGTATTATCATCTATTCGAACAGTTTCTGCATTTGGAGGAGAGATCAAAGAAATTCAAAGGTATGAAAATTTCAAATTCAACTTCTTGAGTAGCGATGTTTCAAGGGATAGAGAGTTCGCCTTCTAATGAGGTGAATCGGGTTTGAAACTCAATTGATCAATGAAACTCAATTGAACTGTTCGATACGAATTTTGCCTCCAGCTCGCACCGATCACAGTTCTGACGCGCAACATCCTCAGTGGTAGACGGATCATGGGTTAGAGTCCCCTTGCCCTCTTACCATGGGAGGTTCTCTTCGTCTTCTTCTTCATGTAGAGCAAATGCGGGTTAGTTCCCTCAAAAAGTTCTCCATGAAGGCAAATTTCTCCCAATACTTCATCCAGGAGTTCCCTTGTCTTTTGGATTTGGTTCAAAACTACAAGGCTACGGAGTTAAACATCAGCGGTCGTAAACTAAAAAATTGTGTCTTCTGTTCAACGAAGGTTAGAAAATAAAATAAATTTCAACTTTTTATGCTTAAGCTGAAAAAATTTAAAAAAATTTTTAAAAATTTATTGTATTTATGAACGAAGTCTATTAAAAATGTAAGTAAATTGAAAAATTAGTAAGGCAAACTCACATGCTTACTACCATTGTAGAAAAGAAAAGTATCAACAGATAACTGTAAAGTATAAATAAAAAGTAAAGTATCAATAGCTAACTTTGAATAATAATAAACAAAATGTTACACAAATCATCGTACACCAAAAAAAGAGGGGATGAATGTAGAAACAGACAATGGGATTGGGAATTTGTATTTTGAAAAATTACTTCATATATATAATATTACTTACTTTCAAAAATTACTTTTCAAAAATTACTGAAAAATGGGGTAACTTTGCAAGAGACACGATAAGTATTTACCACACATGACTTCTAACTTACTTTAAAATAAGCTTTTCAAAAATTAAAAGAATTCTTAGGGAAGAATAAAATAATTATTTCACAAATAATAACAATAATTAAAGTATAAGTTTTTCAAATAATCGATCTCATGCTTTTACAATCAACAGAAATAAAAATTAAAATTTAAAAATAAAGAAATACAATCATTATTATATTTTATGTTATAATAATGCAACAAAGTTTGGCTAGTTGCTTGTCGGATATTTCAAAATGAAGGTTTTCGCTAGTATAATAAATATTTACATGAATAAAAATAGAAATAATTTCTATCTAAGTTATTCTATTAGTATTCCAAGTATTCTAAAAATTATTTCTATCAAATTATAATAAGTTTTTATTTTATTAGTTTAAAACAAATAAATATATTAAAGAAAATTTATATTTGAATAGTTTACTGAACTCACCGCTGCTGAAATAATGTGCAAGCTCCTGTTATCAAATGCATTGAGATGGTCCTCTCCTCGTGTGAAAGTATTTTTATTGCTTTAATTTAAAAGGAAATGTTGTTATTAAACTAAAATACTGTTCCGTTTCATCTATAAAAATTTCATCCGATCATCCTCTTCATCAACGTCACCGCCATTTTATTTACGTTTGTGGACGTCATCACATAAAATTGAAACGTCATAAAAAGCAAACGATCTGATTGGTTCAAGTGTGAACGAAGAGAAAAATTGCTAATATTTCACATGAGCAATTTTTGACTTTCGAGCAATTTTTGACTTTCGAGCAATTTTTGAAGGAATTGCCTTTAGAGTTGCGGATATAGAGTAGATTCCGTTTAAGGTTGCTCTTATTTTCCCTCGTTTGATGTACCCATTAGTATTCTTCACAAATACTATTTAAATATGAAAATTAAATAAAAAAATTTAAAAAAAAGTTTGAAAAATTTAAAAAGCATATATTTTTTGATTTTATTATCTTTTTATTTCCATGTTTAAAATATTTATAATTTATGAGGTAAAAATATTATTTATGAAAATCAAAATTTAAATAGTTTATAAAAATTAAAAAAGTATTTATAATTTATATTCAAATTATACTATTGGCTATGCTTAAAAGCGGTGTTATGCACCAAAAGTAGCCAGGAAATTTGTGTAGAAATTTTTCTTCCAAATTTATTCTAATTCAAACTATAACTACCAGATTTAAATAATACAATTTGTAATTAAATATTTAATCTAATTTTGTTCATATATAATTTAATTATTATAACTTAATAACTAACATATTATTTCCTATACTTTTCCCAGGTATGAAAACCGCTTACTTCCTGCTATGCAAAAAGGTATCAAAAGGGGACTGTGGACTGCTATGGGAGCAAGCGTAACTTCGCTTTCCATATATGCAGGATATGCTCTTGCTTTTTGGTATGGTGTTAAGCTTATTACTGAAGATTATGGTAAACAAAACCCCGAATATGATGGTGGAGTTTTAATTATTGTTGAGTAACTTTAATTTTCATTTATTCAAAATTATACAAAAATCATGAATAAATAATTTATTTTTCATTTACTTATTGATTTTTTTTAGAAATAGTATAATTACAAAAGTTTATTTTTGTAATAGGTATTTTTCAATGTTATGTTTGCGTCAATGTTTCTTGGACAAACATCTCCATATTTTGAAGCGTTTGCTCTAGCGAAAGGTGCTGCAGCTAAAATATTTCACATTATTGAAAGGGTATGTATTATTCATGTAAACTGAACTCAAACTATTGACTTTACAAGTCTGTTTCTGTATCATTTCACAATCAAGAGCATTATTCATCTACAGATAATGATGTTTTTGTCCAACACCAAAGCGTAAAAAGTACAGTATGAAACTTAGGAGTAAAACTTATCGGAATAAGGTGATGAAAAACTCTAAAAATTGAGTGTTATTTTAAGTTAATAGTGAATCAAACGTCCCTTCACACTTAAAAGGTGTAGTTCAATCTAAACGCACAGATAGGAAAGATTAAACCAAAAGCAAATACTTTTTCTTCGTATTTCAATCGTTTTGATACAAGTTGAAACTTTGATTTTGTCTAGTCGATGCTGGGCATTTCATAGAAACATGTAAGAAAACTGTTTTATGTATGTTTTTAGTCGTATTAATTGCATTATCATAAAAAGATGTACATAAAAATCTTCCAATTGTACTACATAATTTTATAATATTTAATTTCTTTTTTCTGTTTCGGTTTCCTTAAACTGTGTTCGAATTTATATTAAGATTCCCTCAGTACTGCGAGTATGTTTATGAACAAATTTTACTGCAAGAAATATTGTATATATGTATCCGAAAATAATGAGTCTTGCTTCATATTGTATCGCAAAAATAATTTTACCGACCCTTATGTGTATCTTATCTTACTATAATTATAAAATTTAGTGTTATTGAATAATAACCAGGGTGATGGCTAATTTACACCAAATAGTGTAAAAGAATTCTCTACGTGTTTCATTACACCGGGAACTGTTCTTGGTTCTTTATGTAGTTAGTTGAGATCTAAATGGAACACCATTTTAGTGTTAAGTGGTTGTCACCTTTTTTTGTGTTCAGATACAAGAATTTTTTTTACATGGAATACTATTTAAAATCTTGAATATTTTGTACAGAATTGCTGGAATTTTGTGAATTTTAGTCATTTTTGCATATGTCTATATCTCTTTTAGAAACTCCTTTCATATTGCAGTTCATGCATTACATATGATAACATTTCATGATAGTCAGTTGTCGACAGCAATCAACTTTTGAAAACTTGTTTATAAAAATTATAACTCAACTTGACTAAAATCTAATAACTAATTGGTAGCTTTCGTTAAAATGCCGACTGGCCTTGCATCAGAAAGGTTCTGGGCTTGAATCCCGGACAAGACATGGATGTTCTTTCATTCTCTATACTATTCGTCATTACTGCGGGATAAACATCGGCCCACCTAATATGGTGTCCCTGGAAAAGTGGACACCAAATCTACTCTTCAGATGCCATTATGACATAGGTCATTCCCCTGGTGGGCATTGGAAAAAAATACTTTCATTAAAATGCGATAAATTAACTACGCTATTTAGCACATTTTTTTCTACAATTACATAAAAGTATATGTATAGTTCTAGTTACATTTATCTTTTTCAATAAAATATTAAAAAATTGTTTTTCAGAAACCAGTTATTGATAGCAGCTCTGAGGCAGGATTAAGACCAAGAGCTTTGAGAGGTGTCATAGCTCTTAGGGATGTGAACTTTAGTTATCCAGCTAGAAAAGATGTGGCAGTATGTTAATTATGAAAAAAATTTATCCAAAATTTCTTAAAAGTGTGCATAAAGTTCTTTTTACTCAAAATTGTATTTAATTTTTTTAGGTATTAAAAAATATGTCACTGGATGTTGCGCCGGGAGAGACTGTTGCTTTAGTTGGATCAAGTGGATGTGGAAAAAGCACCATCATTCAACTTGTTCTAAGATTTTACGATACTGATTCAGGAAGTGTAAGTTTCGTTAGTATTCAAAATAGGTATTTATTTTAAATTTCTTTATTTCTTTACGGGAAATTTTATTTGGTTTTAGATTTCCGCCCAATTTGAATTCAATACTCGGTTAAAGTTATAAAACCCCAATCAGTATCAAATTTTAGAAATAAAATAAAAAAATTCTAAACTACTTTTTTCGAATAAAGGAGACAATATTCTACTTTTATCACACCTAAAATAATGATAAAATGCAGAATGCGTCTCTTTTGAAAGGCGTGGAGAGATTTTTCGGTAGTAATAGAAGTTTATTATAATTACGACGCTCTCTTCGATTTATTTATTTATTTATTTTTGAAATGTGACTAAAAAATCTTTCCACTCCTTTAAAGTTCTTATTCATAATTGATTTTTCCAAAGTTTCATAAAATATATTTTGTCGAGTATATTTCTTCGCCTTCTGTAGGCAAATTACTTTATATCAGCGGCTCTTAATTTTTTTCGGCTGTGGAACACTAAATGATCGACCTTATTTGGGTAAAAACCCGAGACTACTGAATATTCGCGATTTTGCACAGATTAACGAAGGAGAAATAATTATTTTAAAAATATGTAATGATCTAAATTTTATTTATTATTTCGTCAATATATAGTGAATTAATAGAGAATGAAATCATTCATCATTTCGATTCAGTAAGGTTAGTATTAATGGTGGGTTTTATATCAGGTTGAATTCATTTGTCATTGTTGAATTCATTTGAATTCACATGTCTAGAGTAGCATCTAGTCTTGATTGGAATTTAGTACATGCATAAACTGAAAACGACTAAGCTAAACTATTGTTCTAACCATTCTGATGAAATAAAACTGAAAAAAAGAGAAGAAAATAAATGCTGAGAATGATTATTCAAGCATATTTAGTTGAATTTGATTATTTTTATTCGTTGCGAAAAACTAATGCAATTTTTTTATAAAAGCAAATCATTTTCATCATACATATATTGTTATTGGAAAAAAGTAATTTGCAGCTTTTTTTTTGGTTACAAGCATTTTAATTAAATAATTTTTGAAATATAACGGAAATATTAAATTAATAATGAGTTATTGATTCCATTTCAAATTTAATTACAGATTTCAAAAACCATAACTTGTTAAAAAAATATCCTAACACACGGAACCCCTGTAACCCTTTGACGGAAACTCTAATCCGGGATTCTTTTCGTTAAAGGTCACTGAAAAAAAATCGTTATTTTGTTTTTATTGCTGTATTTCCGATTAAACTTTTATTTTTTTTTACTTAACTTATCGCTTGTTCTTGTTATCTCATCGAAATTACATAACAGTTTTTCAAAATGTGATAAAATTTATCTTATGAAAAATTAAATACGCTATTTATTTATCATAAGACATTCTTTCTTTGTTAATTTGTCATTGAAATTACTATTTAAAAAAAACAGTTACATTTTATTATCTATTAGCTGAATATCTGCTCTTCGTACTGCGTGGAAAGAGAAAATAATCAATAATTTAGTATTAAACAAAATTGCAACAATAAAGTGTTGAGCAATATGTCTAAAACTGAAAGACATATACCAAAACAATTGAATAACCTAATATGATTCTTATTTATTTTTGTTTACTTATTAATATTTGTTGCGTTTTCCGGTGGTTTGACTCTATTATACGAGGAAAAACAGGTTTTTAGTACTTCATCACATCAAAATAATGATCAACTGCATTCAGTATCATTTTGGTGTTGCGATTGACCCACTTATGATGGACAAAATTTCCCAGAATAAAAGAATTTTCTCAGGTACTTACCCTGGATTTTAGCATTATCACTCTTCCAAACGTTCGTTTACACACCCTAGACCAGGGATGGCGAACCAATGGCACGCGTGCCATTTATGGCACGCGACACAATATTTTGGGCACTCCACCGATCACAATTGTTGTTACACTATGAATTGTTATTACACTAATGCTATTACGCTATGAAGCATATGTAACAATTAAATTAAAATTCACAAAAAACAAACAAAATAATAAACAATTATTAATGAAAAAAATCAAAAATTAATACTAAGAAACAAGTATTAACAGTAAAAAACAAGCTAACAATAAATAACTAGCAAAAAAAATCAACAGTCCTGCTTAAACTAACATCTTACAACCTAATATAAGTTATTGGTCATCTAATCTGCAACAACGGAAGTCACACTGATGTTACTTTAAGTTGAATTACTTGTATAACTGAGACATTGCAAAATGTTTTTTTTTCGATGTAAATAAAGAGTTTTGAGTTGATAGTATTTAGTATTATTATTTTCCCAATACTCACGAAGTTAAAATTATTTGACGGCACGTCTATGACCTCATTAAGCAATTTTTTAGAGAAAATGGCACGTTGGTGTATAAAGGTTCGCCACCCCTGCCCTAGACTATTGGCGCTAACAATTTAAAAAAAACATCCAAATTTTCTTTCTCAAAAAAAAAATTTAAAAAGAATCTTTCTTTAAAAAAAATTTTAAACGGTGTAAATATTAGGAAACTAAATAATAAAATAATTTCTTAAAAACCTTTTTTTTATTTAAATTGATTAGACTTGTTTAAATCACTTTTTCAAGAGTACACAATCATTTCTATTGAGTTTGATGCTGAACTTAACTTCAGGGTGAATTCATTAGGCTTCGCTCACCGTTCAGGTTGCTCCATATCAGCAATAAAGCAATAAATTGCATAACCTGACATGACGAAAAAAATAATTTAATGTTAAAGAATTTAAAAAAAAATTCAAATTTAATTCAACTACACAAATCTAGTAAACATCACTGATGCTATCTTTAAACTATGTGAAAAGAACATAATTTTCTGAAGTTAAAATTATATCAATGGCTTTTGCTAAACCAATAAGAAATTTAAACGTACGTCTCTTTAGAACAATCTAAGTGAAATCTTTGAACGGCTATTATGATAAGTGACAAAACTATCTCTTGATGCTGTTGTCTAAATTTGAGGACTCTAGTGCAATTTGCTCTGGAGTTATAAAGGAGACACACAAACTGTTCATTTTATTGTTAAAGATTGTATTCAATTTCAAGATGATTGAATTTTTTTTAGGTTGAGCTTGATGGCACAGATGTCAAAGATTTGAACGTTGGTTGGTTAAGAGACCATATAGGTCTCGTTGGACAAGAGCCTGTACTATTTTCGACAACAATTTTAGAAAATATTAAATACGGTAAACTAGACGCAACGCAAGAAGAAATTGAGACAGCTGCCAAAATTGCTAATGCGTATGACTTCATTGATGCCTTACCATTAGTAAGTCATACATCATTTGCTTGTCTCTATTCAGCCTTTCGTTTAATCTATATATGTTCTCATATGTAATTATTTTTAAATAGAAATACAATACTCTTGTGGGAGAACGTGGAACTCAGCTGAGTGGAGGTCAGAAACAAAGAATTGCTATAGCTCGTGCCTTAATAAAAAATCCTAAAATATTATTATTGGATGAAGCAACTTCAGCGTTGGATACTGAAAGTGAAGCTATAGTTCAAGCTGCTCTAGACCAGGTAATAGACAAAGAACTCTTTCCTGAGAAGAAAATTTAAAATGGTTCTTTTTGTGCCAAAACATAATTCCTCTTGTTTATATACTAATAACTTTTAATCGAAAGCGCAAACAACTAAAATAGATATAGACATTAATGTCCTCTTTTTGTCATGATTGAAAATTCGAAAGTATTACATTCGGTGAAGCTTCTTCAGGATCGTATAATGAAATTAAATAAATGTGAAAAAATTCATAATTTTTGTATCTCTAAGCCTTTTTATTTTAACATGTTTTCAAAAAAAAATTTTCTTTCTTAGTGCTTACAATATTTATCTTAACAATTTTGTTCACTCATTTGTTGTGCATATCAATTAGAATCATTTTTATGGATTAATTTGTAAAAAAGTGGAAAAAAAGGTTAAAAATATCTGTTAGGTATATATAGCGTGCTGTAAAAATTGTAATACCTCATAAAATGCTTATTCCACTCACAGTATAAATAAATATATTATACTTAAGATAAAATAAGTCTACTTCAAAGCTGTATCTTAAATAAAAAAAATTCATTAGGGAATTAATTAAGATTAAAACACAAGAGTATCTATGAGAAAAGCACTTCAAAGTCTGCCTGTGGAGCAAGTTTCTGTATTAGGACAATTTAAAATCAGTCATAGCTTTTTCAAAAATGTAGATAGAGAGATGGTTATTTTTCAGTGCATTTGAAATAGTTTGAAGTTTTATTATAAGCAATAAAGAAAATTTCGATATTTTGGTCATTTTTTGGGAATTGTGAACTTATAAAACAAAGCATCATTAATTTAGTCGTTTGTATCAAATTGAACCCATTGTTGCCATTTTGATTTGGTGGAATTATCTGCGCTCGTTGCAGAATTCGTAATTAATTGTACCTATTTTTGAAAACTTTTCATTTTGACAAAAAATTATTTCATGTACTTAGAAATAATGCGTTTAATTTTTTTGAGTCCAAAAATTTAATTTCAATTGTTTTGATAAAGTATGCTTTTAATCCTCTCTATTTGTTTTCACAAATATACTGATGATGGATATTTAATTTATTTGACATTATCTTTCGGTACATGTAAAATACAGGGCCACCACCCAATCGCAATTTGAGATATAAAGCATATTTTAGACTATTTTTTTCTGACAAAATTATGACAATACAATTCTGCAATTATCAGTTTTGGATAGGTAGTGAAACAGTATACAGTTGCTTGTTATGAGATTTTTAGCAAGCATCTTTGTTTTTATGCAATTAGTATAAAAATAAGTTTTAGCGACATCTAAATAAAGTTTAATCGGTTTTGCATCATTTTAAAAAAAAATTAAGAACTGAAAAACGTTAAGTTTTATATTGTTTATTCAAAACAGCATGTCGCATTATTTTTGTTTCCTTGAAGTTTTGAGGAAAAATTCATAGAAGTTCTAAAATTATCAATAATAATACTTTTATTTAGTTATTACGTACATATTACAGTTAGAAATTTTGAAAGATTATATAATATTGTATAACCTGTAGCTATTCAATCATCGGTGTATTTTTAAGCAAATCTAATTAATTATTCAAACGAATTTTTCCTTAATTAAATATTTTTGCTTTAACAGTCATAATGTTGTATCAATTTGTCTTCAAATTTTGTTGCGTTTTTATATTGAATTAATAAATGCTTTACATATGTTTTTTTTATTAGAAATTTGTATATCTATCACGATTATTAATTATGTATCCAAATGTAAAATCGTTCTGAAACAGCCCAGGGTAGTGTAGATGTTAATCGCAATTGGACTCCGTAATTTCGTGACAAGAGATGATTGCAGTAATGTGTCCTGTATTGCGCATATGCCGCTTTTACTCCTCAAACAGGCTGGTACCCATCGATTTGAAGGTGATGGATAGGCTTCAAGCCGCTGCTGGCGATCGAGCCCCAGTTCTTCACTATGATAGTTCAGTGTCTTAGTATGAATATGCCCAATGTTTAAACCTCGAATATTAGTGTGATTAGCAAAAGAATAGTTTAAAGTACTAAATAAATTTTCATTTATCAGATATTTTCTCAAATGCCGTAATAGATACGTTAACAAAGTTATTTTGATGTTAATTATAAGCTAAACTATTTTAGAGAATAAAATGTCACGCTGAAAAGCATTAAATGCATTTTGTAAAAAAAAATTAAAAAAACGTTCTAATTTATAATTCCTCAGAAATAGGATCTACTAGCGTTCGTGATTTCGCAGCTAGTAAATAGAACAGAATTATTATGAACTTTTACCAATTTATTTCAAGTCAATAAATACTAATCGAAATAAAATGCCAAAGGAAAATTACAAACTATCTCAAAACCTGATTATTTGTCGTATGACGTCAAAAAAATTTTCTCGTAATTTATATTGGTTAGTAAGACATGGATAGCTATAAAAATTATAATAAACTAAATGAAAATTTTCGAAACCTACTTTATTTATGTTTTGCTTAAGATTTTGTTTCAAATTATATATATTTGTAAATAACTTCTTAATACAGGCAGTTATCACTTAATTTTTATTTTGATCAAGAGGCCTTAAAATAAATATATTACAAGAAACCGTCTGTCTTATGAATGATTGTTTGCATTTGCATATATTTTCCATAAAATACTTTTCAATTTTAGGCTCGCAAAGGAAGAACGACAATTGTTGTTGCACACAGGCTTTCAACGATTAGAACAGCAGATAAAATTGTTGCTTTATCAGAAGGAAATGTAAAAGAGACTGGTACACATGACGAATTAATGAAAAGAAAAGGTCTTTATTATGATTTAGTTGTTACACAGGTAAAAGGATTTCAAAATTTATAGACTTTTTTCCAATGAATAATGCAGGTGTACTTAATTGTTACATAAATTTTCTTCCTTAAGACTAGTAAAGAAGAAAAAGAAGAAGAAAAGGAGGACGATTTGCCGCTCATTGAAGACAGAACCCGTGCTTTAAGTATATCATCAGATACCAGTCTTCAAAGAGGTCTTTCTTCTGCCAGCATTCTAAAACCGGGCATGCATCGCCAAATATCAAGTGGTATAGATCGCCAAATATCTGAAAAAGAAGGATCTGTGGTAAGAAGATAGCGAACATTTGCTCAATTTTACAAGCTTTAAATTTTTATTAACTATGTAATTAAAACCAAAGCTGTGTAGTCAAAATTCGATGACAATTTTAGCGGAGTCAAAGTGAAAAACAGTTGCTCGACTTTGATTACGATTAGTTAAAAGTTAGGTTTCGTATTAAAGTTATATCTATTTAGGGGCTTAGCGAGATGAAAACGAAACTGTGATCTAAGTTTTTCGAATCAATATTGGGAAAAGTGGGATTAAAACTAACAAATTTTTCAATGTCTGAAATTTTAGCTATTGATTTTCACCTTTTCTCCTTCGCTTTGAGAAATTAATATGATATATAGACTTGTCTTTCACTCAAGTTTTTATCAAGTTTTGATAACGTTTATCTCTAACTTACTATTTTCGTTTGACAAGAAAACAGAGCAAGGCTGAAAGTACGTCTTAGCTCAAAAGCCCACAAATAGATAGCAGCTCCATTTATTCATGCGGCCACTTCTCCAATTTAGACTTAGATCTCCAGAACCTTGTATCCATGATGTCGTATCGCCTGCTTCTGGCACGTGGTATGGAGTTACACCTCAGGATTCACTGATCTGACTAACACGTTCATTTAATTTTCTTTTATTTGTGGGAACGCCACATCACACAAAAGGTACGTTAGTTCGCGAAGAAGCACTGGAACTACTCCATAAATCCAATCTGAAGATTCGAAGGTAACACATGTCTTAGAGTTGGACAAAAATAGTGTATTAATTACACATCAACTTACTTGATGTACCATTAATTGTTTCTATATCAATTAAATTATCTGTAATTTAATAATTATAGAAAGCTCAGGAGGATGAGGAAGAGGAGAAAGAGGATCCACCCAAATCTAGATTGTTTAAAGTTTCAGCACCTGAATGGCCTTTTATTGTCATTGGAGGACTGGCTGCAATGTGCATGGGCTTATATATGCCTGCTTTTGGTATCATATTTGGATCTATTTTGGGGGTATGCTTACGAATTTATAATTCTGCGATTGTTATTATTTTTGTAAAAATATTTTCTCTTAAAATAATTTTGTGACTAGTTTATTCATTTTCTTATATACTCAGAGTTATAATACTGTTTGTTGTCCGTATGTTAATTTATGAAGTTTAAAGGAGCAGAAACGGTTTGTGTTCATGAAAACTGTACATGAGAAAAATGAATTTCATGTTTTTAAATTTTTCAGGTGCGAGCATACGGTTTAAATCATGAACATAACGATAAATAGGAATGGCAGATGTATTAATTTATGTCCCTTGAAAATTTAGAAACAAAATTTTAAGTTTTTGGTGTTGTAAAAAAAATAAAATTTGGAAATCGAATTGGAAAAAATCTGTTTTTTTCCCCCACAAAATTCCTTTTCAATCACTAGTCTTTCCATCGTATATTTTTCTTTGTTCTTCTTGTCTGGGCGTGAACAGGAACCGTTTCCTCTCAGCACGGCACATATTTATTGTGTAAGAACTCTCGGGGAAAAACAATTTTCAACGTTATTGATTTGTCAACAATTAGTTATCATCAAGATGAACAAAACGGAGAACCAATAGACATTTATTTGAAAAATAGACATAAGCCGCTCTTCTTCCTCAATCTTTATATATTTACTTAGAACACTCAAAATGTGATTCGTGAATGACAAATTTATGGCTAATCGAACATTGAAAAGGATATTTCAATCTCTATAACCCTTTACGCTATTGAAAATATTAGTTAGTTTTTTTAATATTGCTTTTTAAATATTTAAATTTTAATTATTTATATACTTTTCTATGGATGATTTTTTGAAAATCTACGTAGTTAAAAAGTATGTTTTGCTCATGCTTTAAAGCTATTTTAAACTAAATAAAGGTAAATACAACAGTAATTTTCCACAACGATTTTCCAATTTCATTGTTCACTGGACTGTTAAGGTAAGTGTGGAGTAGAGTTAGAAATACTTTAGAGATAGCCGAATATTGTGTATAACTGATTGCCTAGTTCACAAGAGAGCATTTAAAGCAATTGTAAAATCCTGTTAAGAAGGATGTGTCGAAAGCAGAACAATGCAATATATTACGATTTTTTAAATGCAGAACAAAGGTCTGACCAAATGTTGTGAGACTGTTCAATCATCTTTAGTTATTTTATTACAGGAGTTACGAATTCTGACCCCCGGTGGATAAGTGGTAGCGCTTCACACTCCACTTCGCGTGCCACAGGTCCTGGGCTCGATCATCGGGCCGGTCAAGGTTGACTCAGCCTTTCATCCCTTCAGTGAGTCTATAAATGAGTGCCAAACATGCTTGGGAACTAAGCACTGGGGGTTTCGCATTCGGCTGACCACCTAACCGAACATCTGCTCCTGCGTCGCAGAACTCAAGATCAAGAAAACTAAGATAGGCACAGTAGGTCTTGGCCCTCTATGGGTTGTCGCGCCACTGAGTTTAGTAGTTACCAATTCCTAATAAATAAGTGCGTTTGAAGATGAGGTTTGGCAGAATCTTGATGTACACTCACCGCGAAAACACTCACAACATTTGATCCGAACCGTTTGTCCTAGGGAGATTTTGCCATAAACTGCAAACATTCAACGATAAAATTCCTCATTGACCTCACCTTCTGCCTCCAAAAATTGAAGTGTTACGCATTGTTGTGTTCTCGATGCATGTTAGTAACATTTTACATTCACATTGAATGCTCTCACGAGAACTGGTTAAAAATACAGGAATCTGCCGTGCATTATTCTTACTGAAATTTATATCCCTAAAAGTTGGTATTATAAACCACTCTGTACTTCTGACGCTATCGCGCGTGTGCTTCCTTTATTGGAGAAAGTATTGTTACTTAAGATAGTAGCTTAAAACATAACTATATCAAAAGTCAATGTAAAATTTAACGACATTTTCTAATCCTATTTTGCAGAGTTTTGGATGATATAGTATCATAAGTTAGAAAAGTTTTTATATAGTTATTTTTTATTTTAGAATTATTATTTCTTTACCAGAATGCTTTAGAGACAGATGTGGATTTGTTGCATTCAGACTTTGTTGTATAGCATTATCAAAGAGCTCTCGTAAAGTAGTGCCTGCAATTATTTGCAAAAATATTTTTTTGACAATTTAAATTTTTTAATAGGTTTTAGCTAAACCATCTGATCAAATTACTGAAGAAACTAACTTTTGGTGTCTCATCTTTGTGGCATTAGGAATTTCATCTTTTATCTGCACTTTTCTACAGGTATGGAAATAAACTTCATTCTTAATGACACATAGTTTACTGCTATACTTCACTTTTTTATCATTTCTAAATACTTAATTACGTTAATTACCTTATTCCAAAAATAAAAATATTCATTACAACTATGATATAGAAAAAACTATCTCAGACCTCGTAATTAATGAGTGGATTCATTATAATCTAAAGGTGGGTAATATTTTAAGACTAAACTCAAAAACTAATATTTTTATTCATTTCCTATTTTTTACATGAGCTCATTGATTCAGCCATATTTAATATTATAGCCATTGTAATAAACTGTCAGTAATCATGCTTACTAAAACTAACCACCTTCAAATCTATAAAACTCGTCATATTGATGGATTACTTAAAATCAAATGCATTGTTAACAATTGTTACTGATGCAGCAAAAACCAATACTTTAAATTTCTTATAGTTATCAAACAACTAAGGAATATTATTTACTCTATTAATACTAATGGCATCCTTCATTTCATCGTAATTAAAAATTAATTAGTCTTATTTAAAAAAAAATCTTTGACTTAAAAACTAATGACATTAAAACTGAGAAACATTTATTATATCTTAAAGTCTTTGCAATTAGAATGATAAAATAAGCATGCAAACTAATAAATGTGTTATTGTTGCATGGTTACAAGTTACCATTTATTTCATATTTTACTTATGTTGTGATCTATTTTCAGATATTTATGCTTTCTGTTGCTGGTGAAAAACTAACTTCAAGATTAAGAAAAATGGTGTTTGCCAAGATAATTACTCAGGTTTGTAATTAATATATATTCACTGCTTAAAGCTTAGTTTAAAATTCCTTTTCATTAATTACAAAACAATTTTTTTTACAGGATATGAGTTATTTCGACAGTTCTAAAAACAGTGTTGGTGCTCTTTGTTCTCGCCTGACGTCAGATGCTTCACAAGTTCAAGGGGTAAATTTATTTGAATTCTTTAAAAAAAAAATTAAAAAATTATTAATTGAAACGAATATTGTCAGTCAGTTATTTAATTCCATACAAAAATGTATTAAAATTTAAAAAAATTTAGGTACACATTTAATACAAAATTTTAAAATTACTGTTAAATAAGTTTTTTTTTTAGAAATTATAAGTTGACTCCTCCTGGAGTAAAATGGTGACTGATGCATGCTAAATCTGTCGAGTCGCAAAGTCCTCCATGTTTCCTTAACAAATCAAGACCTCTGGGGGTACTGAATCGGAGATTGATCGTTCTCTGATTCAGGTCAAAATTACGATCCGTAGATGAATGAATGAATGTATGAATGTGTCACACCCTATAAACGGGTGTGACGTATGGGTGTCGCAGAAGTCGAATTCTTGGCCAAAGATGGCGCCTCGGGAAAGCAAGAACAATCGCACCCCTCTACGTTAACAGGCATACGCCAACAGCAGCAACAACAAGACTTATAAGTTAATTGCTTAAAAATTTAAAATCAAATCAAATGTCAAATATTTTAATAATAGTTATTAATGGCTTAGAATTTATTGAATAATACTGTTAATTGTAATTGTTAAATATGACTTTTAATAAAAATTTATTAAATAGGAATATTAGTATTAGTTTATTGGTTGTTTATTACAATTGTAACAGCAATTGCTTCAATTTTTCACCCAACATGGTTGACGGTGTAGTGCTTAACACATTTCTCACATAGACAAAGGAAAAATGTAACAAAAATTATATAACATTTAATATTCAAATTGCGTGTGCTTTTAAATATTGATTAGTATAAATTGATTTATTACATATATTGATACTTTTAGGCCACCGGTTCAAGAATGTCAACCTTATTTCGAGCTCTTTCAACTTTTGTATTTGGATTAATTCTGGCAATGTGGTTTGATCAGAGACTTGGTGGTGTAACATTGGCTTTCATACCATTCATTTTCTTGAGTGCTTATTTTCAAGGAAGAGTTGTATCAGGTCATTCAACAAGTGAAAAGGCTGGAACAGAGGCTGCATCAAAGGTAATAATTTTAACAATAAAATTGCATGAAATATTTAAGTAAAACATTTCATGCGTGTACTCATTAAATCTAAATATTGTCCTCGATTTCTTTTTTAATAACACTTAAAAGACATTAAAAAAGATTTCAACTTAAAAAATTCTAAATAATTTTTCTTATTCATTCTGTAATATACTTTTATTGAATAAACTCTACTTTTTTTCAAATTCCGCGTTAATCAGTCTTAACCTAAGATATTGATTTCTTGAGTTATCAATTTTGGTTATAAATTACTAAAAGAAAGTGGCCAGGAAAATGGCTGATTTTCATGCGACAAACAAATTATTGACAGAAAAAATTATTTTCAATCAAGTTTTTGGAAATAATACCCTCTACATACATTCTAGAAATGCTTACAATGGTTGAGATAAAAAAATTAGATATTGAAAAATGTATGGGAAGTTTTGAAGCTAGTTATTATTGGAAATATTGCTTGTGACATAACAGGAAAATGACATTTTGATATTCAATTAATTTTAAATTGCTAACAGCAATGCTATTTGCTAAAAATTTTTTAGAAAATTCCTTTAGTAGTACAGTATTTGATCTTGGAGCAAGAGACTGTGAATTGTCATATTTTGTGAGAATCACCCATATGAGTTTGCCATGTGCGTCGTCGGAGCTCAATTTTCGAGGAGAACGAAATTAAATGTACAGTCCGCAAAAAAAAAATAGATATAGAATAACTTTCGTTCTAATGATCGGATTTTCACGAACTAAGTATTAATCTTAATGGTCCCTGGGGGTGACCTCAAATATGCTAATTAATTAGTGCTAACTATTAATTAAGTTACGAAATCAGACACAAAAACGTACTTTCTCTGAATAAACATATATTTTTTTTTACATATTTGGAATCTAGACACTTGAATTAGGGGGGGTAGACAAAATTTTAAAACAATTGGGTCGTAAATTGGGTTGCAATAAAGGTTTATATATTTGGCGATAGTCCAGAAAACCGCCAAAAAAAGTCGCCTGCGCAAATAAATATTTTAAGATAACCCTTGACTGATTCAAAAGAGAAACGCTTAATTTTACTAGGTTGCTAGGCAACCAATTTCTGACTGTAAAAAAATTGAAATAATGTTTTGTGATTGCTCTGAGAGGTTTAATTAATAGTTAATAGAAAACACCTCGAAGTTTCTAGGCAATAGACAATTTTTAAGTTCATTTATGTCCAAAAAGCAAAAAAAATAAATAAATAAATAAAATAAAAAATTATTTTAATCTCTTTTGAAAAGAAAATTTGAATCGATTTATAAGTTTTCAGAATTTAAATACATGAACTTTTTATCTGATATTATTTAGATTATGCTATTTTTGCTATGTTTATTCGAGGATTTCATACTAAAATCAAATTAACATAACTTATAATAGCTATATACAAAATTTTAGGGATAATGATTTTTACAGCTTTAATCGAGTCTTCTAGGCATGAAAGTTTGAAGGAAAAAAAAGTGCATGAAAAATAAAATGTAGATTGTATAGTAATTCTAATGCACATTCACAAGGTTTTCTGTAATTTACGATTTCTTTTTTCTATAACTCAATGAATTGCTGAATGTTTAGTGGCATTTTAAAAACATTGAAATATGTTATGTTTAAGAATAAGATATTGAAATAATATGTTGCATATTGTATGATTCATTGTTTAAAAAATTGCTTCATTTTGCTAGATATTTACGTTACATGGTTTTCTTTGGATAAAGATGATTAGCAAATAGCATCCACATGTTTCGATACATTCTGAAACTTACGTTCGCAAATTCACCATAAAATGTCGCACAGCATATTCTTCAATTACGATAAGCTACATTTACCACCAAATACTGCTACTATGATTATTTTTGTTATATAGATATCAGATATATATATATATATCTGATATATATATAACAAAAATAATCATAGTAGCAGTATTTGGTGGTAAATGTAGCTTATCGTAATTGAAGAATATGCTGTGCGACATTTTATGGTGAATTTGCGAACGTAAGTTTCAGAATGTATCGAAACATGTGGATGCTATTTGCTAATCATCTTTATCCAAAGAAAACCATGTAACGTAAATATCTAGCAAAATGAAGCAATTTTTTAAACAATGAATCATACAATATGCAACATATTATTTCAATATCTTATTCTTAAACATAACATATTTCAATGTTTTTAAAATGCCACTAAACATTCAGCAATTCATTGAGTTATAGAAAAAAGAAATCGTAAATTACAGAAAACCTTGTGAATGTGCATTAGAATTACTATACAATCTACATTTTATTTTTCATGCACTTTTTTTTCCTTCAAACTTTCATGCCTAGAAGACTCGATTAAAGCTGTAAAAATCATTATCCCTAAAATTTTGTATATAGCTATTATAAGTTATGTTAATTTGATTTTAGTATGAAATCCTCGAATAAACATAGCAAAAATAGCATAATCTAAATAATATCAGATAAAAAGTTCATGTATTTAAATTCTGAAAACTTATAAATCGATTCAAATTTTCTTTTCAAAAGAGATTAAAATAATTTTTTATTTTATTTATTTATTTATTTTTTTTGCTTTTTGGACATAAATGAACTTAAAAATTGTCTATTGCCTAGAAACTTCGAGGTGTTTTCTATTAACTATTAATTAAACCTCTCAGAGCAATCACAAAACATTATTTCAATTTTTTTACAGTCAGAAATTGGTTGCCTAGCAACCTAGTAAAATTAAGCGTTTCTCTTTTGAATCAGTCAAGGGTTATCTTAAAATATTTATTTGCGCAGGCGACTTTTTTTGGCGGTTTTCTGGACTATCGCCAAATATATAAACCTTTATTGCAACCCAATTTACGACCCAATTGTTTTAAAATTTTGTCTACCCCCCCTAATTCAAGTGTCTAGATTCCAAATATGTAAAAAAAAATATATGTTTATTCAGAGAAAGTACGTTTTTGTGTCTGATTTCGTAACTTAATTAATAGTTAGCACTAATTAATTAGCATATTTGAGGTCACCCCCAGGAACCATTAAGATTGACACTTAGTTCGTGAAAATCGGATCGTTAGAACGAAAGTTATTCAGGGTGATATCTTTTTTTTTTTGCGGACAGTACGTAGTTAAAATAGTTCTCTAAGTTTTTTTTAGCACATTTAAGAAAAGAAATCATTAAATGTGTTGAACATTTGAAACAGATAAATAAAATATACGATTTATACAAAAAATGTTGCTATGATTTTATCGTGAGAAATTAAAGTTTGGAAAACACTGATCAAATCCAATAATTAATTTTGTGATTAGAATATGTTCTTCCTCCATTTATTTTGTGAAAGATATTCACGCTTCAAAAAATTCTAGAAAAATAGTTTAGTTTATATTTTAAAATGCTTGCTTAAACATACATTTAGAAGCATTATTTAATGCGTGTTTATTTTTTTAATATTTAGGTAGCAATAGAAGCAATAGAAAGCATTCGCACTGTTGCATCTCTGCATCAAGAAGAAAATTTCTACCGCCAGTTCTGCAATGCTCTTTTGATACCTCTCAAGTTAGTTTATACCAATAATTGCTTTAATTATGTTCTGCTATAGCTATGAAGTTTTCAAGTGCGTTTTTAATAACACAAAACAATTATTATTATTTTTAGCTTAAATGCAAAATAAACAGATATCTTTACGAAAACTAATGCAAAGTTTCTTCATCAGATGAAGAAAAACCAATACATTATTATGAAAATTTATGAGATTACGCAAGAGGACACGTTATTGTCGTAAAACCGTTGTTAAATAATATAATATAAATGAAATGCTGCTAAGGCAATTTTATAACAAATTTAATGAATGCTTTTCAATACCGAATTTTTTATTCAAATTGTGCTTTTTTATTAATTTTTTTTCTTTTTTTTCCTTTTCTTTGTAAAGCGGAGATGTTTTCTTATAAACATTTAATTTTTTTAAGAAAAATTAGAAATGAAAAATTCTAGGACTTCCCAATTTATTTTTATCCATTCTTCCTTTTCATTACAGCTAGAAGGTCACGTCTACTTTTAAAACCTGAAACATGCAGATACTTTACAAGTATTTAATCAGATATTTATTATTTCTTAACACGTTTTAAAAATCAGACAGCAAATACATAGAAAATTTTAATATATCAATGCTTTCATAGTTTCCTTAAACAGACTAGTTATTTAAATGAAATAACTAAATATAATTCACTTGTTAGAAAGAAAAAAAGTAATAATATAGGAGACTAGTGTATTATTTATCACATGTGTCACAATCACCGGCATCCTATTGAAATAGGATGCCTGAGATCATGTTTCTTTACTAATTCTCGGTATGTTGCTAATGCTCACTGGCTGTATGTTGCTAATGCTCGGTATGCTAGGAATATTGCTCACTGGTTGGATACCACTGAAACAATATTCAAATTTAGTTTTATATTTTGTTTTTGACGAAATATAATCTGGCTCTGATCCCAGAAAAAAAAGTTGTCCCTCACAACAAATTTCCTGACAATAAAGAATCTTATCTCGTTACCACAGTTTATATACTATTTTTATATTGTTGTATTTAGCACAGATCATTTTTTTTTTATTTTAGCCTATAATACCTAAACATTGAACTAAAGTCAAATCATTAATAACAGTTCAGTGCACTTCGAATAATAACGGAAAAATACATTAAGTTTATTATTTTCATTATTTGTTTTAGAAATTCTCGGAAAATGGCGCATATTAGAGGATTTATTTATGGTTTTGCCCAAGCACTGAATCCTTTTTCGTATGCTGCTGTTCTGTATTATGGATCGATACTAGTTGCTGACAAAGAGCTGAAATATGAAAACCTCTTAATGTAAGATATTTTCAATACATTTGATTTCAGGAAAATACATATACTTCTGACCACTCTAGAAATGATTTAACGTAAAGCATTTTTTTAACGAGTTTAAAGAACTAAAATGCTTCATTTAATTCATTTAATTATTACTTCAGCATTCAATATCTATTTATTTAAATATTTATTTATTTACAAATCTCAGGGGTTTAGTAACTAAGTCATTAGCTTTCTAGCTTCCCAGTATTTTTGTACAACAGAGTTGAAAAAATACAATGCATGTGTCCATATTTATTTAAATTTTTGTAGCATTAAAATATATATGAAAAATCCTAGTTTACACATGCTAAAGTATAATCAGTGCATGGACATAATATGCATTTATTTTAGACTTTCCATTGGATAAATTATTAATTTCAATGGCATAACTTTGTTTAAACTAATTATAAAATTTATACATTTACTTAATTTCTGTACATGGACTCAATGTGTTTCACGTTTAGCTTATTGGTTTAAAACACTTTAAATTAATATAACTAAAACGCTTAACTGTAAGATAGAAAATATATGGGATACGTAAATAGGATGCATAAAAAGTATATGGTATAACCAACACAACGTGGGGGAAGCTGAAAGAAAAGCACAAAAGCAGCATGCTAATTACGGCTCGAAAAATTTGAACCTTCTTCAGTGCGAAGCACAAAAAAATTCGTTGGACTAAAAGTCCAGTTAATAAAGGATTTCACCACGAACAATTGACGGGAGTTTTCTTTTTTTTTGTGCACTTGGAGTTTTAATTTTTTGTTTTTTGGAGAGCTGAACATGAATCCTCATTTTGCGACCAAAATTGCTTTCCAAAAAATTATTTTCTTCTAAAAGCCAGTCTTTTTTTTATCTTTTTTTTACGTCTCAAGAAGGAAAATTTCTAACAACGTATTTGAAAACTAGAGATTGATTTGGGGAAGGTTTGTGAAAAAGTATGAATATTGGAGGATAGTGGGAGGCCCTATCCTCCATATTTATCAACATATTTCCTGAAAAAAAGCTTGATCACAGAATGCGTATTCATGTTCAGCACTAAAAAAAGGTGTGCAAAGAAGAAACTCCCGCCAATTTTTGCATTAACTTTCATTTTTGAGTTTTATTACCTGAACTATTAGTTTGGAGAACACGTTTCTGGCTTTGACACTGAGGAAGATTCTTGTTCATATATCAGTATGTTTATTTTTTGTATTATTTTTTATATTTTTTCTTATTTATACTTTATTCACATTGTTTTGATTTATTCATACGTTGCACAAAGTACACCTATTCTTCATTTGGGTATTATTTGACTAGTTTTAATTTATTTTCTTATTAAAACAGGGTCCTTCAAGGAGCTTTAATTGGAATGACGATGGTTGGACAAGCTTTCGCGATTGCTCCTGACTACAATAACGCTAAACTGGCCGCTGTTAGAATATTTAAAATCCTTGATGGAGTTCCTAGTATAGATCCTCTGTCTCCACAGGGAAAAATTCTGGTGTGTTATTTGATAAATTGAAATTTTTTAACTCAATCTTATCTTAAAATCGCATCTTATTTGGAAAAAGCTCTAAATGATAATTTTCCCATACAACTGGAAAAACTATAATGGACATTTTTTTCCAGAAATACATTCCATAACAAAAAAAATCGAAGCACCAAGAAGGAGTTGTTCGATTGAAACGAAAATTGGTGGATAGGAAGATAATGTACCGAATAGTAAATGATTAAAATTTCAGAACAATTCAATAATTTATTGCAGAGTTACAGTAACAAGTTCAATAAGGTGTTGACCCGCCTCTAGTCTGGATACAAGCTGCCACACGGCGTGGCATAGACCGATAAAGCTCCTGGATAGTCTCTTGCGGTATTCCCTGCCAAATTCGATCCAATTGTCGAACGAGGTCATCATTCCGTGCCAGATGCAATCGCCTTTCTATCATGTCCCAGACATGCTCGATGGGAGAGAGATCTGGTGATCTGGCAGGCCAAGGAAGAGTTTAACAAGCTTGCAGACAGTTCATAGCAACACGTACCGCATGTGGTCTGGCATTGTCCTGCTGAAAGACTAGCCCAGGGCGCTGCAAAAGGAACGGTAGCAAAACAGGTCTCAGGATGTCGTCGAGGTACCGCTGTGCACTAAGTGTACCTCTAATGACGACCAAAGGGGTACGGCTGCCAAAGGAAATGACACCCCAGACCATAATGCCTTGTTGAGGGCCGGTGTGGCGTGCAATAGGGAAGGCAGGATCCCCCCTCTGCCCTGTGCGTCTCCAAACACGTCTTCGATGATCGTCTGGACACAGTTGGAAGCGGGATTCGTCGCTAAAGACTATACGTCCCTAGTCGACATCATTCCAGCCTAATCGAGCGTCGATTTCGCGCTTCTTAGTGCGTTCTTGATGCGTCGATTTTTTTGTTATAGAGTGTATATAATAAAAGATATTATTGTTGTAAAAAACAATAAAAATGTAAATTCGGTTACATCATAAACAATGGGAGCAATTTATGCAAGAAAGCATCATCGTGCATTTCCATTTAGGTATCAGGGCGCCTCCTTTTATGTTAATGTGCATTTGAAATTGTACTTTTAATTATCTTCATCATCTTGAATTATGTTAATTATACGCTTTTCAGTAATTATTATAAAAAATTAATAAAATACAGTTTTCTAAAGAATTTTTAATAATTTGGCGACTAACTTATCAAGCTCCACAAATTCGTTACCAAATTATGCTACAACAGCTGAATGCAATTTTGGAACGTAATTACTGAAAAATTTTAAGATAAGATAATTTTAAAAAAAAGTAAGGGGCCGTTTCAAACTCGTTTGAACTCAAGTTTTATATAGGAGAGGTACCAACTGTTCTTCTAACCAGGCCTGTCCTCACCACATCCTCACGTGCCTGGGGTTCACCAAACAGGATTTAGCAGATGATCCATTGACGGTGTTGGATTTTTTGAAGGTGTATAACGTTATGGACCTGGTCTAGCACTGCTGGCCAATGATTGCGTGCAACAACAACAACAACTTAATTACAACTCTATAATCAATATCTAATTTAGTTATTTTTATCACCTCCATTATAAAAATTTTGTTGCAAATTTCAAGTTAATAGTCGAAACAAATTTCTTTCCTATTGTCACTTCTGTGAAAATAAATCATTTCCTTTAATCTCTCATAAACTATATTTAAATGTGTGTTATTATTGGATTTATGAACGTTACAAACATTTTTTGATTACATATTTTAAAGTCAGATGGTTTCTGAGGTTTTTATACCGATAATTTTGATTTACTGAAAAATGAACGTTTTATAATGAAAAAAACATAATTTCATTAATCTAAAAATCATAGAAACTATGAGCGAAATAAACGTCTCATAAAACAGTATGCTTCTAATTCATACAAATGTACTCTAAAAAAAGTTATGTTTGAGAACAATGTCAGATAAAAAACCTACATTTATATTTATCTAAAGCATGAATGTATTTTAAACGCCTAAAAAGAAAGATACCCAAAGTTTAATTTACTTATACGGAAAATGTTTAGTATTTACATATATATTACGTTGAATTCACAAAAGTAACAGGAAATGTGTTCATTTTCATGTAATACATTTATAATTCGAATTCAACATCAAATTTTTGCCACTAAATACAGAGACTGCATCATTTTCATTATACAGAAAATAATTGCACACAAAAATTCAATATAATTGATGTGTGAGAATTTGGATACATTCTTTCAATTCTTTATAAGGAAAAAACAATGCGCAATAAAACTCAAACGGTTGGTAAGATACTAACATTCATATTTTACTGATGAATTAATATTGCAAATTTATATCCTAAATTTCTCCTTTATTTTAGAATGAAGTTAGAGGCTACGTAGATTTTCAAAAAGTGTACTTCAACTATCCAAGTCGACCTGATGTAAAAATTTTGAGAGGTTTAAATTTAGCCATAGAGCCAGGAAAGACTGTGGCTCTAGTGGGAAGTAGTGGATGCGGTAAAAGTACTTGTGTACAGCTGATAGAACGTTTTTACGATCCTTTGCAGGGCAATGTGGTAAGTTACAAAAGTCGGAACAAATTTTTTTTTAGTTTTACTCACTATTTATTCAATTTCCTGAAATATTCATTAGTTTTTCCTATAATTCACACAAACATTACAGTTGATATGCAATTAAGAACTTTTATCAGTATTATATCTTGTATCTTTACGTATTAAGTTAATTTTTTATTTTATTATTTAATTTATCAAAATTGTCATATAGTAATGTTTTGTTGACATCGTTCTCTCCATAAAGAGATATTTTTTAAATTTTTAATATTCCTGAACATTCAATAATTAGCTTCGAGAATAGTTTTACTTTGTTTTCAAAAGCCCATTTTTCAGCTATTTTTCTAATAACAATCCATTAAAGCAGGTATTTCCAAATTTTCCAACTCTCGATACCCTGATGAGTTTTAAAATTGTCTCACAGCACCCAGAAATATACTACTCGTATGCTGCAAAATATTTAATATATGCATAGAATGTATATTTCATACGCTTAAGACTATGTATCTAGCAATGGATGAGGTGAACATGGAAACATATTTTATGAAAATTAAAATTAAAATCGACTCCAGAGATTTAATTGCAATCAATAAGAAGATATTCGTTGTGATATACAATTTCAATAAGGTATCTATAATAATAATAAAACGAAGAATTTGGTTGCCTGTCTCTCTTTGTAACTCCAGAACTGTTATTGAAAGTGTTCTGAAATTAAGATAGTAACTAAAAAGGGGATGTTAGCCTCCGATATTAAAAATCGTTCTGCAATTTTAATTAGGTAATTTTAATTAGGTTTTAATTAGGAAATTTTAATTAGGTAATCGTTCTACAATTTCTAAGTAAACTACATCACCGAATAAGTATTCCTTAAGTAATTTGAAACCATGTGTTTATTTTGCTTAATTATTCTTTTAGAACAAAGTTCTAAAAATCTAAATAATTTTTGATCAATGTTATTTGAAACAAAATTAATGTGTTATGTATACTGAAAAGCAAATTTAATCGAGACATATTACTAAATAGTTAAGAAGAAAGGTAAAAATTTCTTATCTATTATTGACGCAAATGATGCTTGATTAATATTGAAGATAGGGACTAACTGAAATAAACAAAATACACTATGTACTAAGAAGAAAAATTAACGAAGAAATGGTACTAATTCGTTTAGGAAAAAAGTAAAAGTTCGCCATGCTATTATTGAAGCCCATGATGCTTAGTTAAGTGTGGTGATTGACGTAATAATTGTGTCTAAACTTATAACATAGTGAGGAACATTAAGAATATTTGACTTTCTAAAACCGCATTAATACATATACATATATTAATGCATACACTGAGTGGCCAAGTTATTATGACCACCCCTTCAGTACGCTGTTGGGCCACCTTTTGCGCGTATTACTGCCTTAATTCGTCTGGGCATGGATTCTATGAGATGTTGGTAGGTGGTAGAAGGTATGCCAGACCATGCTCGCTGAAATGCCCTTGCCAATTCCTGCAAATTCGATGGTACTGGATCCATCTGTCTGAACACCCGTTCAATTTCAGCCCACAAATTCTCAATTGGGTTGAGATCTGGGGATTGTGCTGGCCAAAGAAGCAAGTTAAATTCTCCGTCATGCTCTTCTAACCCTCTGAGGACAATGCCAGCTTTATGACAAGGAGCGTTGTCCTGCTGGAAGTATCCATCCCCGCCAGAGTACACCAATGACATAAATGGATGTACTTGATCTGCGATGATGCTTAAATACCCTTGGGCATTAAGGTGTTGTGGTACAGGAATTAAAGGACCCATACAATACCAAGAGAACATTCCCCATACCATATCGTTGACACCACCAGTTTGAAGTGTCGTGGCAATGCAGTTGGAGTTCATGCTTTCGTGCTGTTTTCTCCATATTCTCATCCTACCATCTGCGCGATGCATTTGAAATCGTGATTCATCGGACCACATGACCATGTTCCAGTCATCTACTGTCCAATGTTTGTGCTCCTTTGCAAATTGGAGACGTTTGCGCTTATTTAAAGCAGACAGTAGAGGCTTACGAACAGGTCGTCTGCTTCTATAACCTATACGGCGCAATGTGCATCGAACAGTCCGTTCAGAGACGTTCACAGTTGCTCCTTGATTAAGATCACTTGCAATTTGTCGCACTGTTGCTCTCCTGTTGCGCTGCACAACCCTGACCTACCCTCTTTCTGATCGAGCATTCAAGTACCCTGTGACGACCACAAATCTGACGTTGAGACCCGGTTTTTTGCTTGATTGTCCATTCTATGTACACATTAACAACTGCTAACACGTTGAAATTCAGTTAAATCACTTTTCTTTCCCATATCTGAGCAAGCAACACAGTATAACTGATGACTCACTTGTCCAGCATTCCCGTGTTATAGTTATCTTGCCCTCTAGTAGCAGCGCTGTGACGCAATAACTCATTTGCATAAAACTTTGAGGTGGCCATAATAATTTGGTCACTCAGTGTATATACCTCGCGTATTTAATACATATGGTGGAAAAAGCTTTTTTAGGTACTCGAAAGAAAACAAATATCAGAGAAAATCATTCAATTATGATAAATTTTTACTATCCTGGGTTGGTGTCGAGCAATAGAATTATGCCCTAAAGATACTAAATACAGTTAATCTTCATTTTGATGGGATGGATTACTATTTAAGTGTTTTCCTTCATCTAATAACGTAAAGCCACCGTCATAAGCAAAAAAAGAATTATTTTAACTTTATTAATTGAGTTGATAGATGTATTTCTGTTTTGGTCATGGTTCCGTAGTCATGGTTTTGTTTGCTGTTCATGGTTTCGTTTTGTGCTAGTGTTTTTCAATACGGATTTATTACTGGTTATATTTTTTCTCAATCAGATTCAACTAGTAATATTATAGTTGAAAATAAAAATTAAAAGAAATATACATCCATTCTTCAAAGAATTGATAATTCGTTTAGTGCAAATCGCTCGCTGCTTAGCTTTACTAATGATGGAATAAATTTCGGTGAAGCAATTCGCATTTATTTTGCGACATTATTATTTTCCAACCATATGCTCTCATTGAGCTGCGGTTACTTAGGAATTAGAGAGCTCGTTCCCAAGATTCCCCTATATATTCCCTATTCCCATATATATATATGAAACGAAGCGAACCAGGTGCAGAATCAACGAGTTATCCTTGATATTCAAATCTTGTTCAAAATGAAGCTAAGACAAAGGAAAATTACAGACATATGAAAAAAGGGCGGGAAAAGAAAAATAATAATAAAAATAATAAAAAACAACTAGAGGAAGAAAAAAGAAGGAAACATTTTTTTAATTTTTTTATTATAAATAAATACAAGAAAACACGAAGAAAGTTAAGAAAAACAATAAGTTTCATTTATTGCGCATAAGCTGCAAGTAAACAGAACTCATTAGATAGGTTCAAAATGAAGATAAAACAAAGGAAAATTACACACCTTACAAATTACCCCCTTTTTTACCTATGGGGAAAAAAGGGGGGGGGAGAAAATAATAATAAAAAAAATAGCAAACAACTGAGAAGGAAAAAAAAGGATAATTTTTTTTAAAAAAATCCGAAAAGTAAAGGATATAATCTTTTCATCAGCCCACGCGATTATATCTGCGAAAAAGAGTGCTTTCTGATATTGTATCAATATAGCCAAAGCAAAATTTATTGAAAATAAAATTGATACAATATCAGAAAGCACTCTTTTCTGCGGATATAATCGTGTGGGCTGATGAAAAGATTATATCCTTTATTTTCCGGATTTTTTAAAAAAAAATTATCCTTTTTTTTCTTCTTCTCAGTTGTTTGCTATTTTTTTTTATTATTATTTTCTCCCCCCCCCCTTTTTTCATATGCCTGTAATTTTCCTTTGTTTTATCTTCATTTTGAACCTATCTAATGAGTTCTGTTTACTTGCATCTTATGCACAATAAATGAAACTTATTGTTTTTCTTAACTTTCTTCGTGTTTTTTTGTATTTATTTATTTTGTTGTATATATATATATATTTCTTTTTTTTCCTTTAGAAGATAATCTCTTAAAAATCTTTTTTTTTCACCGTCATAAATTAAAAGCCTAGCAGATCATTCACTCAGGACATAATATTCATGTTTATAGATATCTAAAGCTCTATCTACTCTACCTAGACACTGTTTTCTTTCAAATAAATCATTCATAAGAGATTAATGATAGACCTCAAATCGTTTTCACTTTTCGGCAACCCTCATTTATTTTCCGGGTACACCGTGGTACCACGGCCTTACACTTTGGCCGCATACGGAATCCCTCTCTAAAAGCTATAATCAGAGGAAATATATTCAGAGGCTTTTAAACTCATATACTGGTTATAAAAATTCCTAACTCGCAAAACCCCTTTAAATCTTCCACGGAGCCCTAAGGTTCTGTGAAGCACCATTTGGGAACCGTTGCTCCAAGCCATCATGATAAAATAATCACATTTTGCCACAAATAACAAAATTTTACTCATATTATAAAATAAAACTTTATTGTTAATTTTATTAAACCCATTACCAAACCATTTCGGTAAAAATTACAGTACTTTTTACAGGGATGAGATTTTTCCGCTTTTTAGCGGATATCCGCTTTTTTCACTTTTATCTCTTAAATTTCAGCTTTATCTCTTAAATTTCAGCAGATTTTCTAAAAATTTCATTTTTTTTATAAGTATTCCACTTTTTCAGAAAATTCACCGATTTTCAAAGAGAAACAGAAAATTCAAACTACATAGCTACCAATCCTTTCTCATTTTTACTTATTTTACCTATTTTCTTCCCTTTTACACGCAGCAGATAAGATTTTCCAAATTTTTAACCGCCCTCCAGATAGATCCGATTTTCGTAGTTCAAACGACGCTGCTTCTGACAAGCCTTTTAGAGGTCCTAAGCCTGGAATCTGCTAATATCACGATTCTTATTCACACGATTTTAATATCAAACATAGCTTTTCATATTTGCGTGTTGCGATTCTTAT